GCAGCTTATATCCATTGAAATGGAAAAAAATTGGACATATTTTCATTTATTCATTCTGATATGTACAGCTGCGTGCCGATAATATATCAATAATATTTTTGTAATACCGCAGTTCGGTGCACACGAAATGTTTTGTTTCCTGATAATTGCAGAAAAAGAACTCTTCAACACAGAAACCAAATTTCAGACAATATCGTTTTGTCTAATAACCGTATGGGCGAATAAGGCAAAGATAAGAATGTTTTATGCCATGTTATTGATTGATAAACACGCCTATGATAACTTGCCTATCGAAAGGTGTTCATGGCAATTTTTAATTCAATTATTTTCAATCAATTTTTTTCATCACCTAATTCAGACACTAAATCTATTTAGATAACTTTAGATTTATAATAAGCAATAAAAATTTCTATCAGAAGAAAGATAATTCAATTATCAAAATGAAAGTATAGGCTTGCCAGCAAAAAACCCTCCGTGTAAAATATTCTTGCCATGCTTCAAAGTTTTTAAAGGTTGCACGCAGCTGATATATTGGATTTTGTTCTATGATACGGATCTCGGATGATCTGCTTTCTTTCTTGCACAATTTGATCTCTTCGATTTTGACACTTTAAAGCGTGGCAAAAATACTCTCTCTACAAAGGGTTTTTTGCTGGCGAGCCTATACTGTTATTCTGGTAATTAACTTATCTTTCTCGTGCTAGCAATATTTATTGGTTATCATATCGGTAGAGTTATCTAAATTGACTTTATGAACGGATGAAAAAAAATTGATGAAAAATAATAATATCAAACAAAGTCGTGGACACTCTGCTTTCTCTCTTGCACAAATTTGATCTCTTCGATTTTGACACTTTGAAGCGTGGCAAGAATCTCTCTCTACGAACGGTTTTTTGCTGGCGAGCATATATTGTTATTCTGGTAATTAACCTATTTTTCTCCTGCTAGCAATATTTATTGGTTGTCATATCGGTTAAGTTATCTAAATTGACTTTATGAACGGATGAAATAAAATTGATGAAAAATAATAATATTAAACAAGGTCGTTGACACTCTTCGCTAGGCAAGTTATCATAGGCGTGTTAAAAAATCGATCATATTCCATAAAAAAAGTTCTCATCTGTTCATGAGATGGTGGAATTTTGAGCTTTCTCAGGCTCTACTACTGATTGATCTCCAAAATGAATGAAAAATATCATTCGTAAAACATCCAATAATTGTTCAATGTTTGTCAAAGGTCTGCACTGAGTTTTCTTGAGGTTTGGATTTATATCCATTGCCTCTTCATGTTCTTTATTGCCTCTTTTCTACGATGGTATCTGTGATTTTTCTTTACAAATTATGATTAAGTGCTTTTTTAGCTCTTCCATTTCTTGCTTCTTGAAAACTTTTCTCTTCTGTTATTCTCTTCCATTGGGATAGAGATGTTCTACCACCTGATATTTTTAATCTCTGTTGTTCTTCCTATAAGATTTATCCTTATGAGCTTACATATTTTCAAGCATCTTTCTTCTCTTTTTTATCATGTCCGTGAGTTTTTTGATTTTCAGTTTTTCATACAGATTCTGGTTGGGTAAATATCTTGGTGCTCCTACGGCTGTGCGTACTTTTCTATTCAGAGTACCTCGTAGTCTCTCAATTCGTGCGTTGTCCACTTCCCAAATTTCGCCTCCATATAGCAGCCCTGGTGTATTGATTGTTTTTATTTTCTTCAATCTTATTTTCGTCTGACATCCTGCCCTGTTTGTTCAAAAGGGGGTAATGGTAGGCATGCATCTGTCTTGCTTTCTTGACATTCTCAGAAATGTGTGTTCTGTATGTCAAGTTTTCGTCCAGATATACTCCTAAGTACTTCGCATTTTTATCCCACTGGATGGAGTGACCGTTGAAGGTTATTTTCGATGGTCTCTTTTTCTTTTTTTCGTGACCAAAGTAAACCCCAACTGTCTTCTTTGGGTTCACTTTGATTTTCCATTTTTGGAATTATTTTTGCATCATCTGCAGATCTTTCTGTAGTTCCTTTTGAACGCCATCTTGATATGTAGAAAGCAGTGTCGTCAGCGAACTGGGCTATTCTGCATCTGTTTGGGGTAGGTATGTCTGCTGTGTTCATGTTGTAGAGAAGTGGGCCAACTACTGATCCTTGAGGCACTCCTGTTTTTCTCCTATCTTACTCTGAAGGTTCTTCCACGTAGGTATGTCTGGATTGTGTTTACTAACTTTCTCGGAAATTATTCTCTTTTCAGTTTGTATATCAATCCATGATGCCATACTTTGTCAAAAGCTCTTTCTATATTCAAAAATGTGGCACCAGTTGCTATTGATATATTGAGTTTGTCCTTGATGTCTTCTGTCATTCTAGCCAGTTATTGCGTATTAAGATGTAAGAACTTGTATTTCATCGGAAAAAGTTATAAACATAATTTCCAATCATGACTTTCATCGACCAATGAATGAGATTAAAGTGGAAAATTGATGACAGTTTGTTAGTATTGATTATATCAGCTGCCATCGTCCATTAAGTGGAACAATAACTTGTATCCACAATAACCTCTTTTCGAATTCAAAAAGGAAATTTTGAAGTGAGTAACAGCTCCATCTATACAAGATTCAATTGGAAATACTTCAAAGCAGCTCATATGGTATGCGGTTTGCTCATCTTTGACTTTTCTGTCAAAGAAAACATAAGTAATTATGTAATGTATAAGATATAACACACACTGAAACCACTGAAATTGAAACAATTCAATGTCTTCCACTGTTTTGGAACGTGTCTCATTCTCTCAAATAATTATTCACAATGAACCAGAACTAGATCGATAATTCCTCAATTAATTTCATGATAAAGAAGTCACGAAAAAATTCAATTAATTCATAATTTAATTGAATTTCATATACTTACGAGAAGCCCTAAAATAGTTAGAAACATCAAACAATTATTTTTTTCGTAATTGAATAATTATTTTATTCTTTCTGTAACTGTTCCTCCAATATTTTTGTTGAGTAATGTCAAATACTGCGACATAATTATCGGAATTTTATTCAGTTTGTTAACACGTTATATAAAGAAGTGCTCACAAAAGATCACGTGAGAATAATTACAAGCAACTCAAAAAACGATCAATATTCCTCATTAATTAAATACATTTTGGTGTCAGGAAATTTTATAGCTGCATTCGAATATGAATTGAGAATGAATAGCTAAGGTTGGAACATTTCGTGGTACATCATCAATCAAACTGAACACAACGAACACACAATTTCCATTAAGGTCTTAAATAATTGAATGCATATTTTCCTAAAATCTGAATGTTGGAGGACGTTAGATACTTATTTTAATTTCATTTCAACAATAAAAAGAAGAATGAGACAATGTCCTCTGGATTGACATGGTTTTATTCAAGAAATTCAAACGAACGTGACGTAGAATTCAACGGTACAATAGCTTCCTCGAACTGAAAATATCACAAAATATATACTTGTAATAAACGATAAAGTTCAATATAAAAAACAAATATTAAAGCCAATATTAGCTACTTTTTCGAATGCTTTTCAGTTGCTTTTGTGCTTCTACTTGTCTGTTAATATTCAAGGTAACACTGTAATGAGTTACCATTCAATAAAGTTGTATTATGTTACAAGCTGACCAGGCAAAGTTTGTTTCGCCTTAAGTTATATCCCTATGTAATAGCGTCCAATGGACTATGTTTTCATTGTCACTTACATCCAGATATAATGAAGTTCAATGAAATCTCCTGGTTCTAAGCTACCTCATCATCAATTTTCAGCCAAATTGGTTCAGCCGTTCTTGAGTTATCAAGAGTTTAACTAACACGATTTTGTTCTATATAAATGATGAGGATACTATGCTGTTCGAATTAATTCGAGCAAAAATTCGTTTCTTCGTTTGAGTTACTGTAGTAATTATGTGAGTACCAGCCCATAACACCCTCACATCTGCATGTTTATTACCTGAGGTGACGTGAGGGTTCGACCTTGACCATCATTTACATTCTGAACGGTTTTACCTCGCCAGCAATTTAGTTGTGAGCCTACCGGTGCGACAGTTGGTGGTTTCAATTTTGATACGTGATGTATTGCCTTGTCCAAAGATGGATATCACTCCGAGAAAGCGTTCCAAAATTATCGCGGTTAATGAACACACATCAATGACTGTAAGAGATATATCTGAAGCTTTTGGTGTGGGAAAGTCCAGCGTTTCGAGAATTTCAAAAACATTTGAAGAAAGTGGCTCATCGTCTCCAAAGATAAAATAAAACTGTGGCCGCAAACGCAAAACTACTCCAAGAACACACAAATGGTTGATAAGAAATAGCAAAATCAATCCGAGAAAGACATGCACTGATCTTCGAAGGGATTTAATGGTTTCTGATGTGGAGGTGAGCACCCTAACTGTGCGAAAACTACTGCTGGAGGTTGGCCGTAAGGCAAGAAGACCAAGAAGAAAGCAACTGCTTACCCAGAAAATGATGAAGAAACGTTTGACATGGGCCAAAAAGTACCGTGCGTGGACTGTGGACGACTGGAAGAAGGTGGTTTTTAGTGATGAGACACATTTGTTGGTTCAAGGGTACAAATCAAGTGTTGTTAGACGAAGTGATGGGGAAACTTTGCGGCCTGATCACATCCAGCAAACAGTAAAACATCCATCGAAACAAAACTAGGTGTTGTGGTAGATGTGATGTATATTTATACGATGCACGAAGCTAATATAATATGGAACAAACAAATTTATACGGAAAGAATAAGGAGAGAATGAACCAATACTCATAGAAAAAACAGGAGTCATTTACTGCAACTTCGTTACAGTAAAATACTCTTCATCAAATTTATTACAGATAAGTTAACTGCAATTATTGTCCTTCCTTCAACTCTGACATAATCTGAATCTTGAGCAATTAGATTCATTTGTTTAGCCTATATTACGTTTCGTTGTATCAATGAATCTAGTCAATTACATAAAAACAAATTTCCTCAATATGACCCTGTAGGGTATCGTACCCACGACTTTTGGAATAGAAGTCCAACACGCTGATCACTACGCTGAAACAACATTTCCTTGCTTAAGTCAGATGGATGTTGTTATTCGATGACATTTGCGTTTTGGTATACTACGTATTTTGTTACGTCCCACGGGAACCTGATAAAAATCATCCTGTCCTTTTTCTCATTTGTGTGTAGTTGTTGTTTATCTACGTCGGCTGTTCTTCGGAAATTGAATTTCATGTATTCCGTCTTACTGCGACTGATACGTAGTCAGTACTCTCCTATTTTCTCTACCCATTTGTCAAGCGATTCTGGAAAACCAATAGTGGTTAGCCATTGAAAAGTTCGAAGTACTCGTGATCTTTATTGAATTGAATATCATTTATTTCCGTTCTGAATTGAATTTACAGACTTGTTACAGAAATTCAATGCCTAGTGCAATCACTATTGAAAACTACATTGATTTTTCCATCTTCCATTCAATAGCAGCAGTAATTAGCGGCTGAAAAATCTATATGAAAAGCGATTGCATGGTGAGCCTGTCAAGTTAAGAGAGCCACGATTGATGATTCTCCTCTATATTCGTCTCAGATTAACGGACCGATCCTTTATAGGACCCCACGCACGATCAAATGCCCGGAAATAAATTATTTAAGAGCAAGTTCGAAAGATGGGACACGATAAGACGAATGAGAGTTTCGTATTCAATCATTTGCAATAAAAACGACAGCCCATTTATCGGCTGGTTCTATTGAACTTCAGGTCTATTTATTTGTTTAGATGATGTAGTATTTTTTGTATTCACGTAGCTCAATTTTTATGAGGCTATATTCGCGTTATTCTTTTGTATATGTGTACGTTACCAGTTCCCTAAAAATGTGTTTCATATAGTTTATTCGCACGTTCAATAAGTTAACTGAAACATCTCGATGTAACCTTCCATTCTATAATTTCGAAATGAAGGAAATTCCAACCTTTTGCATGTGTAAGGCATCTTCTTGATGACAACTGATTATTTTCATTTCAACGTATCATTTTTATTTTCTGTTATTTTTATTTCATTTTCATTTCAAACAAAATTCATCCTAGAAAGTGAAGTTGATATTGACATTGCAGAGTATTATTGATCTACCCGCACTAGTTCAAACTAAATTGATTGAGACATAATTCTTAGAAGGAATAAGATGGAATATCTGGCTTAGAGAATGTAATTTTGTGAACTTGAGGCTGAGGCACGTTTATGAATAACAATACCACGAACTATCGCGAATTTAAAGATCTTGAGACATCAACATTTTATTAACATTAACATTACAATATTCTGATAAGTTGGCAGAAAACTGATAAGAACTAAAGGTATCATGAAAGAAACATTAATTTTTACGAATTTCCTCAATAAACATTTATGTATTTGAAATTTTTTAACGTATTTATTTATAATTTAACTCAAATTCAACTAAATAGGTTGTAATTTTCACCTCAATTCAGTCAAACATGACAATGAATATTGTTTCGCCAACACAGTGGCTTCATAAAATGTAGATGATAAACTAAGCTAATACCATCTTATCACAAGAAGCTACTGGAATCTTATCTAACTGATAGGCAGCAGGTTATCTGGTATGAAAATTGTCTGTCTGAATTTAAGCTATTTAGACATGGAGTCCCGCAAGGATCCGTTCTAGGGTCATCATTATATATGTTATTTATTATATATGTAAATGTCTTAGCCAACTTTATGGCTACACTGAAAACGGTGTTATTTGCGAAAGGCACCACTTCTGTTTTCTTTGATGGAAATCGTTCATGCTTGTAGATAAAAACCACGTATGTAAATACCACATCTCAATTATGGTTCACGGCAAACAAACTCAAATTGAATGACCAAAAAATTCAAGATATGGTCTTTTCATCTAATTACTTTATAATACTCGGAAAAAATACTGCAAAGCTGCTTGGCGTAACACTGGATAGCAAGCTTAATTGGAGAACTGAAAGAAAATCCTTCTGGTACTCTATTTTTGCCTAAACGAATGAGAAGTATAACGAGGGACATACTTCTCTCTATATATTCATTTTTGAGTTGAGGTGTTGTTCTTTGGGGAAATTGTGCCAATGCCTTGGTAGTTTTCAGGATGCAGAAAAGGACAATTCGAATAATGGCAGCCAATGGTTACCTGGATTTATGCAGACCATTATTTATAAAATATGAAATAATACCCTTGCCTACATTGTGGGTATATCGTTCTTCTAGAAATATATAGGGATGTAGATACGTTGATCAAACAGTCTGATCTACATAATCACATATATTAAATAAAAAATACTCGACTAGGTTTCAAAAATTTATAATTAATGAATATTTGACAATTGTTTCGGGGTGTTACGCCATTTTCAGAAGCCAGTCTAACTTTTGAAAATGTTTCGAAACAATTCTCAAGTATTTATTCATCAAAAATTTTGTGAAACCCAGCCAACTTATTCAATATATTAAACAATGTTTCACCAAAAGATCAGCGAACATTCAATCAACTTTGTTCCATAATTACAATACAACAGGCGAAAATAATATTCGAACAACAAAATATCGTCTAAGTAAGTCAAAAAAAAATCGATTGATTATAATTTATACAATATCTTATCTTCCCATTTCAAAGAGCTTTATTTAATTAGATTCAAAATAAACATGAAGAAATATCTTCTGAGATTTTGTTTCTATTCTGTCAGCGAGTATACGAAGCACTTCAAGACAAAGTCTTTAATATGGACATGCTCACCACATATTTTTATGTGTTACTTTTAATTTTTTATTTCCTGTGCATCATATGTATGCTTTTTTCAGTTTTATGGTGAATTAATTATTAAGTTTACTAAGTTTATACTTATTAGAATTCAGTCATTAGTTTCAGCTAGGATTAATTGTATCTTTATCTACTATTTTGTATTATTTTCTAATTTATGTTAATTTTATTTTTGAAGAATGATTCGTCATACTCCTACCGTTTGTGATAAAGACATTTTTTTCTCTACAATAAAGATCACTGTCACAATCTGAACTGCCCATATTTATGCAGTACAGATATGCTTTTTTTTATCCTATTTTTCTTTTACTGAAATAAATTCAAGAATGGAGAATTATTGATCGGAAGTTGGTCGTTCAATAAAATATTCAATTTATTCCTATTATTTATCTCCATGGCTTCTTCCAGGGTTAGTTTTTGGCCTTTTCGGTCGCTATGCAAATTTTTAAAATAGTTGTTGAAGCAGTACTTTTCTTTTATAAGTTGTGTTGCATACGTTCAATCCGTTTTTTCATTCTCGTAGCATCTTTTATGTTCAGTTTCTCTCATTCTGAAATTTATACTCGTTTGGCGAACATATACCTTGGGGCAAGTACCACAAGTTTACTCGTAGATACCCGATCAATTTTCAGAAATATCATCTTTCACATTCCTAATGAGCCCAACCACATTCGCGGTATTCCGGATTTTGGAAGCTATCGTTAATTTTCTTTCAGATGAGTAGTTGGAGATTATAGATATAGGTTTGCCTAAATACGTTTTTGATTGAAAATTTTCGTTATTACCTATTTTGAATTGTTTCAAATTAACTTTCAAGTAGTAAGCTTTGACGTATTTAATCAAATAAGAAGTGGAATAATCAAACAGTTTTCTCGCCTAATATCGAATAAAAGTCTTTCCAGATTGAAACAATTCTTTTAGCACAAAACAAGGACAAGTAAGAACTGAAATGAAATTCATCAACTGATTAAGTTGAGTTGACTATTAAATTGTGATATCATTATTAATTGAAGAAAATGCAATAAAATCAAAAAGAAACCTCGTACCACGACTGTTTACGAATGAAATGTTTTTATGCTCGAGTGAAAGTCGTGAGATCTAGTTCATTTCTTGGCAGGGATCAATCAGCTAATAAAAGCAGAGACCTTGAGAGAACCAGATCTCGTGAGAACGAGATTCGATTCCGAGATCGCATTTCCCAATCCAGGTTTTATGCTCGATGAAAATCTATTTTTTGGAGCACATTGTTAATAAAGTTGACTGAATGTTGGCTGATCTCTTGGAGGAATATTTTCACCATGTAAAATTGTCTGAAATGTTCAATATTTCTGAGGTAATTTTTTGTTTTCTTTTCTTTTCAAAACTTTTGTGAACATTCGTCTTAGTTGTAAGTATTTTACCAATTGAATGAATGTAATTTTACAATGTAAGGAATGTTTCTCAATAAATTCAATTATTATTATCATATATTATTATTATTATTGCTTGACAATTGTTTCTAAGTGTTGCCCAATTTTAAATAAAGGTTAGACTAGCTTTCAAAAATGAATTGAATTTTACTATGCTCTACTCTCTATTATCACACTAATTTTTTTCCCACAGACTTCATTATTTCGATATATATTACACTTTTTACGAACATAAGTTACTTGGAAATATTTGAGAATAAATATTGGTTCGTCAAAAAAACTTCATTCGTTTCGTAAAATGATAAAACTTAATGTAAACTTCCGCTTATTAAACAGTTAAATATTAGCTCTCTTAATATCCTCACAAGCAGAATATTTTCATTCAATTTCCAGTGTTCGAATTCTGATTCAATATTAGATACACAACGATGAATTGGAAAACCGGCAAGGAAAATTACCTTTGTTGGATCTATTTTAAATATGCTTCTCGCCTTGAGAAATCAACATTACAGTATCCTCTGCTACTCGAATTAGGACACGGGACATGAGTTTTCATCAGAGCCAGAATTTTATTCAAACTGTGGCATAAAATCTTTCACAAGCAGAATTTCAGATGACACTCGTAAAATATTTAAAAACTGATGCTTGGTAATGGACAGAAAGCATGCGACTCAGATTGAAATTATTGCTCATGAAGTGCGGATTTTAACTCATAATTTTTCATGATTTCTCATGTTGAAAACTTCGATAATTTGATGGGTGAACATTTATTTGGGAAAATTTATGACATCTCATTAATCTTGCAATCCTTCGAGTTCGCGAAAAATATTCATTTTAAGATATATTGAAGCATCGAAT